TTGGGTCAAAGTTTCTTTTTCTTCAAAAATACAGTCATTGTTTATAGAGGAAACATACAAGATTCGTTTTGCATTCACTTTTTACGGATATTCCAGTGGTTAACGTTAGACTAGATAGGTTACCCAATCATCTGGAGTTCCTTTATGCAACGTTAAACGCAGCTTGAATATATCAGCTAAAGTGAACGACTATGTGTAGACAGTCATCAGGGAAGGCATAATTTCTTATCCGATCTATTTTGTTATTAAGTTATTAATTTGATGTTGTTAGCATCTCTGAAACGAATAAATTATTGATATTAAGACTAACAAAACTGATGGCAAAGCAAGTAGTCACGTATGATTAATAAAAACCGAATTACACTTAAAATTACCCCATTTTGGGGCATAACAGAATGAAGGGTATAAACACTGTGTAAACTTCATGGTGGTGCTGTTGTTTTCTTCTAGAGGCTCTGTAGGGTTCAAAGGAACCGACGGCTTTGGTTTTTACATAACTTTGTGCTGGTTGGTCAAATCGGGACTTGAAACATTGGCCTATGTTATGATTGTTATGATCTAATCATGTAGGACCATATAAAGTGTTCCTTCATGGAATTGGTCATTTTTTATACGTCTTACTTCCGCTTTCTGAATAGAACTGAGAGTAATGCATATCGCAATTTCACACATAAGTGATGTGTAAGCAAACACCTCATACCATGCAAAGACTGAACTGGAACAGCAATACACAAAACTCTTGCAGATCAGATCGAGGAGTTAGTCAGACCTCGTGCGAGTCAAAAGCTGTACTCGTTTCTCTATCGACGTCAAGACATTCTGCTTGGGAATATGACTTGTTCCGAAACTCCGCTCCATCGTAACGACATCTTCAATGTTCAGACCGCAGTACCGTTGACCATGTAGCCATCCCCCCGCTTCGCTTCGAGGAATCGTCTATTGTCGCCTTCCACACAGAAGTCTCCTTGCTGGTCAAAGTATGGAAAGCGTATCAGTAAAAGTAAGCGCTAATAGTAATAATTGCAGTACGTGTCGATATAAGGGAGGCGAACTAAAGGAAAAACGGAAATCATGGCATCGTTGACACCTTAACGAACCGAATAGCCGTTTTTGCAGCTCCATATTGTGCTAGTTTTAAAGCTTGACAAGATTCGAAATAGCATTTTGCAACCTGGTCGCCGAAATTCCGTACTTTACACGTCGCGGTTGAAGGTTCAACGAGGTAAAAGTTGCTTCGGTGAAGGAGGGCAATGCATCGGACAGAGCTGAAAATCACTCAGTCGAGTTCGCCACTTGATACTTGAGCATTCTGCATGTGGCCCAAGTAATGTCAGAGTGACGGTTGACTTTCACAAATCAAATCAAGCATAGAAACATCGAACTGTAATATGAAAATCACTACCTTAAATGCGCTGTATTTGAGG